AATTTTCATACGTTTTTACGTCTGACTGAAATATTTATTCATTATGTCTTGTATGAAATGTAGACCCATGGGAAAAAAAGATGCTCATCATTTGTCAAATAAGATTAAAAAAAAAAAAACTTCACAAAAAAAAAGTGTGAACTCGGTGAATGCATTTAAATGTGTTGCGACTCCAAAGTAATGCTGCAGCCCCACGACAATAAATACACCTACTGGCAAAAACAATGTATACCGTACCTGTGCAAAAATCCTGTTTTTTTTGCACATTTTTGGTCCCTCAAAAAATTCTCATGAATCAAATTGTTTTTTTGTTTTTTTTTTAACAAGCAGTAACTATGGACTAATTTAAATTGGACTGGTAGTGCTGTATTCATGTTTATTGGGTCTCAGATGCACTGCTGCAGCCCCCCCATTGTTAATGCACTGCTGCAGCCCCCCCCCCCCCACCACCACCACCATTGCAAAATGCACCTCATCGGTGCCACTGTGCGGCCCATGTCAGACCACACAAGCCTTGCCGGGTGTAGGGCAAAATTCTGTAAACAGATAGTTGGATTTAATTAAGGGGCCAGTCAGAGTGTGGTCACGGGCCGCATGTGGCCCGCGGGCCACCGGTTGCACCCCACCTAGGTCCTAAAAAACTTGGTACGGTATGCTCGTCATTTGGGACATGCTCCACCCTAATGATGACAATTAGAATGAAAAAAAATGGATTGCGCAGGTGTACCTAGCGCTTGATGAAAGTGCTTTCCGGCAACCATGTCTGAGACGCATGTCGTCCGTTTGCAGGTTGGTGTAAGCTTGCAGTCCTCTCCTCTCTCACAGCAACATGCAGTCCGTGCTGGATGCTGTGGCCGACACCACCTTCCGGACTATCACCTCTGGTTTACAGTACCTGGGCTCAAACGACGCCAACTACGACGAGCCCGTCAGCCAAGTGGACTTCAAGGGCGTCTTCTCCCTGCAGAAGCCCTTGTCCTCCTTCCGCAGTAACGCCTTCCCCGACAAGATCCCCCCTGACGAGGAGCTGATCCTGAGGGGATTCTACCCCACCAATGCCACAGAGCTCCTGTCCAACCGCAGCGCCTTCCCGGACGAGGGCAGTAACATACAATGCGGGGAGAACTTCATGGACATGGAGTGCTTCATGATTCTGACGCCCAGTCAGCAGCTGGCCGTGGCGGTTATGTCGCTCACGCTGGGGACCTTCACCGTCCTGGAGAACCTGGTGGTGCTCTGCGTGATCCTGCAGTCGCGCACCCTCCGCTGCAGGCCCTCCTACCACTTCATCGGCAGCCTGGCCGTTGCCGACCTGCTGGGCAGCGTCATCTTCGTCTACAGCTTCTTGGACTTTCACGTGTTCCACCGCAAGGACAGCCCCAACGTGTTCCTCTTCAAGCTGGGCGGGGTGACGGCGTCGTTCACCGCCTCCGTCGGCAGCCTCTTCCTCACCGCCATCGACCGCTACATCTCCATCCACCGCCCGTTGGCCTACAGGCGCATCGTGACCCGGACCAAAGCGGTCATCGCCTTTTGCATGATGTGGACCATCTCCATCGTCATTGCCGTGCTACCTCTGCTGGGCTGGAACTGTAAGCGCCTCAAGTCCGTGTGCTCCGACATATTCCCCCTCATCGACGAGAACTACCTGCTCTTCTGGATCGGGGTGACCAGCGTGCTGGTTCTTTTCATCATCTACGCCTACATCTACATCCTGTGGAAAGCGCACCACCACGCCGTGCGCATGCTGAGCCGCACCTCGCAGAAGAGCCTGGTGGTGTACTCGGCGGACGGCACCAAGGTTCAGACCACGCGCCCCGAGCAGGCCCGCATGGACATCCGCCTGGCCAAGACTCTGGTGCTCATCCTGGCGGTGCTGGTCATCTGCTGGGGTCCCGTGCTGGCCATCATGGTCTACGACCTCTTCTGGAGGATGGACGACGACATCAAGACTGTGTTTGCGTTCTGCAGCATGCTCTGCCTCCTCAACTCCACCGTCAACCCTATCATCTACGCGCTGAGGAGCAAGGACCTGAGGCACGCCTTCCTCAGCTCGTGCCACGCCTGCCGCGGCAGCGGCCAGCAGCTGGACAACAGCCTCGAGTCGGACTGCCAGAACCGCAACGCCAACATCTCGGCCAACAGGGCCGCCGAGAGCTGCGTGAAGACCACTGTGAAAATAGCCAAAGTAACAATGTCGGTGTCCACGGAGACTTCGGCGGAAGCCGTGTAATTGGCTGTCCGGGCTGGAGGAAAGTCGGTACATGTCACGTTTCTTGTCATTCAACGTAATGAAGCAGATTTGGGGTGGTGGGGGGGGGGGGAGAAAAAAAAAGACAATTTAGTCAGCTTACGTTGTCGTGGAGCAGATAAGCCAAACAATCCTTCGTTTTATGACACGAGCATGAAATTTGGCAGGGTTGCCTTTAAAAATAAAAAGTGTGAGCCACCTGTTTGCTTGACTATTACTAACTTTAAATGGGAGAGTAGTTCTGGCCTTTTTCCAAGATGGCCGCCAAAATTTACCTTGGCTGAAAAAAGGTTTGAAAGCACTGATTTACAGAGTATGTTCATACCAAGTTTCGTGCTCCATTCATCTCCTTATCAACTAAATGATTCTGCCCCCCCACCCTCCAAAAAAATTCACATCTACCTGCTCCATTGCTAGCGTGTGAGCACAACGTGTGCCCAAGTGCCAAATGGTATTACAAGGTCGCATTAACTGACTGGAAGGAATTCTTCAGTTGACTTTCATGATAGTCCAATTAGTGAATGCATTTTATATTTTTGTACCGTGACTTCAGGTTTTCAAAAACAATGTATCGTCACGTTGGGAACAAGGGGCTACTGACATTTTCAATTCCACACGTCTTACTGTGTGCCATTTGCACCATGAATAACAAGAAACCTTCTCTCTCTTTCCGTCTCCTGTCTCTCTCTCTCGCTCTCTCTCTCGCCTTGACTTTCTCACAGGCTTTCGTGACCAGACATTTTCTCTTATAATTAGAACAGGTCACTTTTTATACTTCTGACAACACTCAGTGAGTGGCGAGCGTGTGAAATGTAAACGAGTGGTGAGTCGTGCAATGCGGAAAAACAACAGCGCTTGTGAACCGAGAAACACAAAATAAATGCAGTTTTTTGTTTGTTTGTTTTTTGATATGTGGTAAAAACGTTTTTTTTTTTGTTTTTTTTAACAAATGGTGGTGATCACTGTTGTATAATTGTACCCATGTGTTTACTTGCTAGCCGTTAAAGAGTGTAGAGTACCACAATCATCAAGTGTACAGTGTTATAATGCAAAAATTGTGTTGCAGTTAGGATGGGCATTTTTACAAGAGGCCTAATTGAAATTTTTTTTCTAATGTATATCTTTTGATTGCATCCAAGAATCTTTGAATGTTCTGAACTCCTATTTCCCTACCAGCCTCATATTAAGAAGGAATAATTGCGTCAATGTACTACAGTTCAACTTCCCAAAGGTAACCTATTCTTCTTCTACCGCAAACTACTTGAGACTGAATCGACAGCGCCTCTGCGGGTTGCTGCCTGATTGCCACCTTGATTGACAATCGCCGATCAATTGAATTATTAGATAATGCCCATCCCTAGTTCAAATCCTAATGCTCAGCTTTTCAGTCCATCTTAAGGACAAAGATTTCAAACATCAAAAATGAGCTCGAACACAGTGTGCTGGTCACAACCGTGTGAGTTGCGTTCATCCTGTGTCTACTTTGACTAGATTGTATGTATGTGATACCTCGTGACTTGGTGATATAGTTCCAACCCAAAGCCTTTAATGAATCATTACAGTGAGTTGTATCCAGTGCTACTGTTGCAGCAGATTGTAGGTTCATTTTTGTTTTGCTGCATAAAAGCCACCCATGCACTGGCCTTTTGTGAAGTACTCTTAGTGTCATGGAAATATCGTCTGCTGTTCATTTTAGGTGTACAAATACGAAAGAGATGAGGGGAGTGTTCACACTTACAAAAGAATCTCAGAAAAAGTGATCCCCCCTGTCCTCCACAAATAAACAATGTAGTGCTTTTTAATCTAGGAATTTGACAGCACAATTGTTCTTAAGTTTTTCTATTGGTGTGACGCTATCCATAACAGCTCTTGTGCCAGTAAATGCTTCTGCTGCCTCTTGTATTCTTGAATAGTAAAAAATGTCAACAGTCAAGTGACTTTCTTTGCAGAAGTGGGAACATGAGGAATCCTCAAAATAACAACAACAAAAAAAAAAAGAAGTCACAATCGCTCAAGTGTTTCTAATATTACTGTTTCAATAAAGTCGCAGCTGATTGTCACGTTTGTCTTGAAACTATTTGATAATTTCAGGTGATGAACATCAGTGCTGCACATTTGGCTCGGGTCTCGGGTTTGAATCTAGACTCCTGCCCTCCTGTGTCGACTTCTCAAGTTCTCCCTTTGTGCATGTGGTGGGTCTTCTCCAAGTATGGCTTTCATTGTCCTGAAGTATAAATGGAAGTATGAACGGTTATTTGTCTGTAAATATGACCTTCTAATGACCAGTTCAGGGTGCGGCTGAGCTCGAGCTTACCCACAGCCCTTAATATAAGGGAAAAAAAAATGGATGAGGGAGAGATGGATTGAAAATCATCTCTCTCCATTTAGCTCAATCCAATCACACAATATACAATGTTTTAGCGCCGCCCAGTGGATATTTTTTGTATTTTTACTCAGCCTTCCTAAAAAAAAAAAAAAAAACTCTCCGCACGTTGCTCTATGCAGTTTTTGTAGCACTAATTACTTTTGGCCAGTGTTGTCATATTGCATTTATTTTTGTTTCATAAGTATTGAACATGTCGAAATCGTTCAGTAACTTCGCCCGGTGGGGTTTGTTGGTCAAATAACTACAGGATTTGGGGGGCGTAGTTCAACGGGATTGCTGGGAAATGTAGTATTCAAATTAGCAAAACGTCATGGGTGATTAAAAACTACAACTACCGGTATTTGAACGCTTTCTCGCGCATGCGCACAACAGTGAAAACGAACGGACCAAAGCCAGCCGACCGTTGAATCGCTGTGTTCACCCCGTAGAGCGTAGAAAAATCTACTTTCATCTGACGATACGTCGTCGCGTCGACGTATCGTTGTATCCGCTTTGGTTCAAAACACGTTTGTTGATCGAAATTCAGTGCCATCGGTTAACGGAAAGTAGCGTGAGACGAGAAAGTGGCATTTATTTGACACACCGCGGAATTGCTACTGCACTCAGTAGCCGGGTACCGAGAGCTAGCAGCAACGTCTCGCCACATAACGGAAATACTCGAGCTTCGTGTTGTCCAGTTGAGATTTTGGAGCCAGCGCGATGGCTTGTGGAGCTACTCTGAAGAGGACTCTGGATTTTGACCCTTTAATGAACCAGGCTTCCCCCAAGAGGAGGAGGTATTCCCCAATCCGTTCTCCCGTTTCGTCGCCGCAGAAGTACCTCCGCCTGGAGCCTTCGCCTTTCGGACAATTGTCGTCCAGACTCACCACAGGTCGACGATTCATACATTTCTCAGCGTTTTATTTGAAGTTGTGGGACGTTTACTATTGAAAACGGGGACCGGCGAGGCGTAGGCTCGAATTAACTTGTTGCTGTGGTATGCTGGAATGACTGACCAAAATTTTCAGTCACATTGACAATGCTGGATTTTGTTGTTGTTGTTGTTGGGTTTTTTTTTTGGGTGCGTGTTGACTGACAGTGATTCGTATTTGCGTTTCCGTCACAGAGCAAATCCTGCACAACATCAAACAGGAGTATAAGCGGCTCAAACGACGAAACCTGGACACTTATTTCCAGCAAGTAGACGGCTCCGCTGCTCTGGAGCTTCACAATATCCCCAGTGGATCGTCCCTATCAGGTAACATTTTAGTTTGATCACTACACTGAGGCTGGATTTACACTGCATCCAAGTACCCCAATTTGTCAAGCAATTACCACAGAACAACGCTGATATAGGGCACAACAATCATCCAAATTCCAATTAACATCACAATGTAGTAGAATGCAATTTTCAAATTGAAAGGCTGCACTTTGAGGGGGAAAATAAACAACCCCTGCATCAGTCAGTACGCTTTAATTTCTATGTATAAAAGATCCTGCCGATAAGAAAATGGACAACAGAATCTATTTGTTCATAATTTAGGAGTCAGCAGCCATACAATTAGGATCCATTATTTTTGTATTACCGGTAACTCTGTGAGATTTCTTCCCTGGACAGGTTCATGCTCAGGCGCCTCTTCCCCCACCAGGAAGGAGCAGCCCTTATTTTCCCTCCGACAGGTCGGGATGATCTGTGAAAGACTACTAAGGGAGCGCGAGGATAAAATCCGGGAAGAGTATGATGAGATTCTGACCACGAAGTTAGCAGGTATGATGAACAAAGAAACCAAAAAAAAAAAGGCGTTGTTTGTTTCCCGACGATGAGAGTCATGCTAACACAATTATTTAAATTTTCCCCACATTCAACAGAGCAGTACGATGCCTTTGTGAAGTTCACGCATGATCAGCTCATGCGGAGGTTTGGAGAACAGCCTGCTAGCTGTGAGTTTGATTGTTTATTTTATTTTATTTTTTTAGGGGGGGGGGTCCTCCCCCAAACGTTTCTCTATAAAATTACATTCATGTGACATCTGGTATTGAGTCACGGTCCACTGATGGTGGACCACTTTTGTAAAGGTTTAATCAGGCTAATCCAGTGTTGATAGAACCCTGGTATTACAATTGATTGGTAGTTTCAGGAGTTTGTAGCTTTTGTAACATCCTTTTACCCAAATAAAATGTCCTCTGGTGTTGTCCCCCCTCTCCAGATGTTTCTTGAGTCAACATGAAGAATAATACAATCTACTGGAACCTCAGTGGTCGACTTGGACTTTCTCCCAGCTGTGCCATATTTCCTCCCAGTGGACCAGATGGACTAGTCTGCGGTTATCATCCTTTTTGTTGTTGCTGCTGGAATTTAGGAGGACTCCCTGCCATTGAATCGTCCGAAGACCCTCTGTGACATCCACCAGTGGCCTCGCAATGTTTCCTTGGCTTTCTTCTCTGGATGCCTTCACATACTCAAGGACGACTGACACCATAACGCTCTCTGGCTATTTTAATTTAATTCTGCTATCCATTTGACAATAAAGTTGTATTCAATTCAATTCAATTTTTCTTATTTTACCATTGTAAATTTTTTTTGTACATGTTGAAAATGGGTTTAAATGTTATCAAAAGGAGTCTTCAATGACTCAGAAATAGATTTTTGTTTTCCACCATATACAGGCATTTATTGCATCTAGATCGGTATATACTGTATTTTTACCTTGCTTTTCTCTTCCACTTTTCATTACACCGAAACATTTTTCCTGTTGTAAAGGGAGGCTTACGATCAGGAAAACTAATAAACTGTTTTGACTGACACATTTGATGACCTGGTTTTAATGTATATTTTGCAGACGAATAATGCATTTGATGACAATATTGCGCAAAGGCAGTTATTTACGACAACAGCAGTTATTGGTAAGACGGTACTTTGCCCCAGTCCTGCACATTTTTGGAAAAATAAAAACCGCAGAAAACATGATTTTTTTTCCACAAGCACCATCATATTTTCTTGGGGTACTGTGAAAGTAAGTCAAAAATTTGACTTGGGCACATAAATTGAAATTAAACATGAAAACGGGAACACTGTTTAAATTTTTGGAAGATTGCTTGTCTCCAGCACCAGATTAAAATACGTGAATGTACACCCAGTTCTTGAATAAATACAAAAAAGGGTTTTGACTTCTGCCAATTGTGATCATCGAGTTGATGACGTCACACAAACACGGACTCTGATTAGACAAGATACCGGAAAAGGTTTACCTAAACAGGAAGTATAGTCGATCCTCCCGTTTGTTACTCACGTGCAGGCATTAATGGACATTTAAGTTAAATTGTTTTAGTATATATTTATATGTATGTATCCATATTTATCCATCTGATTTTTGAATTCGGCATTGTTTGGACTCCAGGAATATGGCTTCTTTTTTCGGGCGAACAATAGCAGCGAAGGTAATGAGAAGAGGTCACTGGTAGGCTAACTTGGAAGCATGAGAGTCCCTTCCGGGTCAAGACGCGGTCAACTGTAATTGCTTTCTTTAACCAAATTAATCTTGTTTTTTGTTGTTGTTATTTGTACTTTTGTGTAGCTGGGCAAGACGCTGCAGCAGCCTGAGGACGTTTTCATACCTGCTCTTTCAGCTGTCCCAATATTTAAGAAACAGTTAAGCATCTTGTTTTTATCCTTCACGCTCTTTATGTCACAGGTAGAGCTTTTAACACATTTTCTAAACCTTTGTGTAACTTTACTCCTCAGGCAGACTGCTGACTTGAGGCTGTCAATAAGCATTTTAAGAAGTAATGGGGTCCTACCAGCTAGTGGAGACATCCAGGCGCAAACAGAACACTTAGCCAATCAGGTAGGATTGAGCAGAGAGACAAAAATAAATAAATCATAGCCCAGCCAGTATTATTTTTCCTCGTTGTCTTTTTTTCCCCCCTCTCCTGGGTGCTCAGACATTAATGAGGACAAAATGGAAGCAAGTCAATGTGTGAATTTTCCTGATCCAGTGGATTTGACTGAACTTTGTTGTAAATGCTAAATCATCCAGGATTATTTTTCAGCTAAAGCGGGACAATGTAGTGGAGGATATAGCAGCAGGAAGTGCTGTAATCAACTTCAAAATCAATCGCAAACTCCTTGCCCAGGTTTGTAAAATTATTATTGACCAATCTTGTTGTGTGTGTGGGTGTGGGTGTGTGTGTGTCTCCTCTTCCTGACCTGTAGCCGCTGTTCTTTTCTATTACAGAAAGTATTGGAACCGTTTGCAACGGGGCACCGTGACAAAATCGTGCTTCACAGTGAACTGTTTGATTCTCTGAAGAAAGGAACAACATTGGTAGAGTACAGGTATGTATTACAATACAACACAAGCAAGGTCTTGTTTGTCAACAACGATACATTTATATGTTGCAGCTCTCCAAACATTGCCAAAAAGTTCCACGCGGGACACTTACGATCGACAATTGTTGGTGAGTTTTTGGTAGTCATATGAAACACCAAAACAATACTGTTGAAACATCAGACGAGGATAGCATGGACTCTTTCCGCAGGAAACTTCATTGCCAACTTGAAGGAGTCCCTTGGGAACAAAGTTATTCGAATGAACTACCTTGGGGACTGGGGAATGCAGTTTGGTGAGCGATTTTGGTGGGGGGAAAGAAAGAATTCAAAGGGATGAACACACACACTTGCTGGTTTAATAACATCCTTCCGTCCATTTTTCCTTCAACTTTTTGCCTTCAGGTTTGCTGGGAGCTGGTTTCAGTCAGTTTGGCAGCCAGGAGCAATTGAAAGAAAACCCTTTACAGCATTTATTTGAGGTGAAAACTGCATGTTCAGTGCATGTTGGACGACACGGGAATGTTCTGATATTGGCCTTAAATTTCATTTCCAATGGAATTCAAGTCTTGAAAGATTTGAATTCATGTTTTCAAGTGTGGCCGAAGGCGCCGGATTTCGGCTCCATTCTTTTCAGTGGCGTGGGTTCAAGTCCCATTGCCGGCAAAGACTCGATTTCTAAAATTGACCCCAGGATCCAGCAACACCTCTATTATATAAATGAGTAATTGTCTCCCAAGAGGCGCACACCGGTAATCGGTTAACTAACCCATTGTATCTTTAGCGTTTTGCAGAACACAAAGCCGTCAGTGTCATGACTCCTCCAATTTTTCAGGTATACGTAAAGGTCAACAAGGCAGCTGAGCACAACGAGGACACGGTGCTGGCGGCCCGGGACTTCTTTCGACAGCTGGAGCAGAAGGAGAGTGGCGCCACGTCGCTATGGCAACAGTTCCGGGACATCACCGTGAGCGAGTATGGGCGCGTTTACGAGGTGCGACGCCGCTCTGTCGTGTAGTCCCAACATCAACTTCATCTTGATGTCTTTTGGACCGTCAGCGCTTAGGGGTCCACTTTGATGTCTACTCGGGGGAGTCCTTTCACCAGGAGCGAGTCCAGGAGGTGGTGCGGCGGCTGCGGAAGCGAGGCCTCTTAAAGACCACTGAGTATTCATATGCCTTCACTTCGTGCCTTTTGACAGCTGAAATTCATATTCCGTTTGCCTACATGCTTAAAATTAGTAAACAAGACCCACTTTTTTTATGCAACCTTTCAGTTATGCAGAGTGAAAAATACACTCGGCGAGTGGCATTAGAATCGCGGCAAAAAAACGTTTTTGTGTTTTCCAGGCAGGGGACTGGCGTTGTGGATCTCTCGGCCGGAGACCAGAGCAACGTGTGCACTGTCCTTCGCAGCGATGGCACAAGTCTCTACATCACCAGGTTGCTGCCGTTCGGAACAAATCCAAGCGTAGAACCCGCAGCCCCCGGCGAAACCGACAATTCCCCACGTCTCGGAAACGTGACACTTGTTGTTTAAAAGTGGTACTTGAAAGAGCGCCTGGTGGGCGGCTCACGGGTGAATTTGTGGTTTCATCGTTGGAATTGCATTTGACTCTCTGTCGCTTTTAGGTTCATGACAGGGCCGTTGTAGGAGTCCTTTGATTTGTTTTTCTTTCAGGGACATTGCAGCGGCCATCGACCGGAAAGAAAAGTACCATTTTGATGAGATGATTTATGTGGTGAGAACATATTATTTTTTGCCATTGCTAATTACACTGCTAATTAGGCCGCATCTAATTAATTGGTTGATATATTGGCTCTTAAAATTGAGATGCACTCTATGTTAAGGCTAAAACAAATACCATAGCTCAAAGTCATCTGCCACCCCACCAGGCCCCGCCTCTTAAAGGAACATGCATGTATGTAGATGCTACAAGAGTCGCACTATTTTGCAGTCACTGTATGGGTATGGCCAGAGCCAATAACAAATGGATTCGCTTTATTTCCGAAGCGATAATGTTTTTTCAAAAGAGAACATTTCGGAAACTCAACCAGCAACATGTTTTGGATTGTGTTTGATTCGAGGCGTTAGGCGAGCTCTTCAGCAGACGCCGATGATTAAACTGTCATTCGTTTAAGGTCCTCGGCAGAGGTCTTTTCTGCTTGCTCACCGATGCCTGTCAAACGCAAATGTCGATGTTTGTATTAGCCCTCTTGCAAACAGCGCCCTTGTGCAACAGCAGCCAGTCAATGTTTTTTCAAAGGGCGTCGTGCGCAAATGCCAGTCATCATGTTCACATTGTGTTTCCTCTTACAGCAGTTGTTTGTCATTTCTGAAGACAGATAAAAGTCAAACACATCACTTCCAGCAGTTGTTCCAGATCCTGCAAGCGATGGGGCATTCCTGGGCTGACAGGTAGACGAAACTCCACCTGACCTTGTAAACTATCATAGTTCTTATCAGTAGAGTGCAGAGCTGCAATACCCACGAGGGAGGTGGTGGGGTCCTCAGTTTACGACAGAGTCCCAAATTGGTACTTAAATCTAGTGCCTGACACCAAAACAACGATCTAATATTTGTGATTTTTGAGCTGACTCTAGCCCTCGAGTTCTTCAAAATCAAGGAGGACCATGCACAGTCCCAGTCCCATAACGTCACAGAGACAAATTGAATATAACTTTAGCATTTAGATCCTGCTGGGTTTCGCTGCACTATCCAGTGAAAGAAAACAAAGCACGACACGAAGGGCAGTCTGATGCCAAGCATTTGCGCAGGTGTCATCATGTGCCCTTCGGCCTAGTCAAGGGCATGAAGACCCGGACCGGAGAGGTGGTCTTCTTAGAGGACGTTCTGGACGAGGCTCGTGCGAGGATGTTGCGCAACATGAGCCAGTCAAAAAGTACAAACCGCCTCGCCTTCACTCATCTGCATGTACTTTACTTTTCATATCTCCTCTCTGGGTTGCATCTTTTTTTTTTTTTTTTTTTAAATCTGTCAAGTCTTATGAGATGACATTGGAACATTTTCCTGATGACGTCCTCATCCATTTCTTGCAGTGACCAAGGAAACGGACGATCCAGAGGACACGGCCCAGAAAGTGGGAATCAGTGCATTAATAGTCCAGGTGAACGACATGTCGAGCTTTCACTCTGGTGGGTTTTATTTTCAAAATGACTTTGAGATTTAT